CGGCAGCGGCGGCAGCAGCCAAGAGCAGCCCGGCAGCCAAGAGACCCTGGCCATGGCCGCCATGGCCAACGGAGACCCCGCCTCCGGCCACATGTTGGGCGACCGCAATCGCAACCTACTTAGTAAGAAGATGGCCTCCTCTTCCTCCTCCTACGATGCCTTCGGCTCGCCGTCTTACGGTTCACCTCCGTACGGCTCGCCCGGCGGCGGAGAGGAGACGCTGGGCCGCCCCACCGAGGAGATCCCGATGGCGCCCGCCGGGGAGTACAAGCCCAGCTCCTGTGGTACCCTGACGCGGCGGGAGGTGTACCTGTAAAGCCGACGCCGCCCCCCCGGACCGGAAATTGGCGGCAAGGAGAACGCTACTTCGGTTTACGGCCCTCATTATTTTCACCGCCCCCCTTTGCACCGAATGAAGTCGGACTCCAAAGACTTTCACAAAGAAGGTGGCCATTTTTTTTTTTTTTTTTTTTTTTTAAAGCGCTACGACTGGGATGTCAATCTGGCGAGTTGGGCTCTTGCAACACGCTAGTCCAGCTGTAGATGAAGCGATTTATTTGACAGGCGAGCGCAACAGTCCATGCATGCATCCACATCCATCACACACACATTGAGACTAAAAACAAAAAAAGGAAAAAAAAAAAAGGGGTGGGGGGGGGAGTGAGACTTTTTTTTTCTAAAAGACTGGCCAACTTTGCTTCGGAGAGTATCTGGGTTCGGACCGTTATATTCTTTTGGAGCTTACTGCAACGATATCCTGGATCTGGGTCCCGATCATTGGAGCGTTTGCGGACTCGAAGACCACACGAAAGGAGACGTTGGCAAAGACTGAGCTTTCAAACATAGCGCGCCGCGCGTCTTTTCCGCCAAACTCTTTTGGCACGAGTCATGTCACCGTACGGACGGCGACATGAAAAATTGTACAGAACCACTTGGGGCGATGCTTTTGAGGGGGCGGGGCCAAGCCCCGTCGTGAAGCGCGACATCCGGGCCGCAGACTGCGCACCGTTAGCCGTTGTCGTGCGGCGAGCCCAATTCGTGATTTTAACAATATATCAGCAACTGAGTGGAGATGAAAATGAATAATAGAAAAAAAAAAAAAACGCGGCGTGTGTACGGGCATGACGCGCGCGTGTATAGGAGACGCTGTTCGTAGTACAGCAATTGCTTCACGATGGCGTCCTGTTTTCGAAAACGAGCTTATACTTCATCGTGGGATAGATTGAGCAATAAATATCATAATGTAAACATTTACCATCAATCAATCATGAGATTTATATATATATATATATATATAATTTTTTTTTTTCTTTAACGATTCCTCGCCCAAGCACTCAAAGGTGACGCACACGCAAAGGTCCAAATCAGCACGAGAATGCGGCTCTGCGGAGTCCGTGACATTTTTTTTTGGGGGGGAGGGGGAGGGGGGGGCGTGAATGTAAGAATCAGCTCAAGTAAACGGGAAACAATCAACTTTACGCTTTGATCCTTTGCGTTGGACGCCAGAAGCTGAACTTAAAACATTCCACAAGGTGTTTGTCCATTGAACGAGTGGAGTTGCAATTTCTGCATCTTTTTTGTGGGGGGGGGCTCTTTATAGTCTGTAAGTACTCCCCGTCGTCGGAAAGACAGCGCTCCTTATACTTAGCAATTGTACACATGAATATCTACTTTTTTACTGCACGCTTTATGGAACTTACTTCGCTTAACGAGAAGGAAGAAGAAGAAGAAGAAGAAGAAAAAGAAAAAAACGACAAAACAAAATGTATAAAAAGTACCCCTGTAACATTGGCTTCCACCTTGTTGCTTGCTGACTTTCGAACTAATGAAACATTAGCCACGTAGTCCAACTTAGTACATCGGTCCATCTTATCACACAAGGGCACTAAATTCTCCCCGTTGTTTGAACAACCGATTTTCATTTTCACCATTTTGTTTACGACAGCTGAAATTGTAGAGATGATCATGAAATTGTACTCTGTATTATGACCTTTCTTTTTTTGGTTTCGTTTTTTTTCTGGTGCCACTTTGTATACTGTATTGTCCTTGAAAAAAAAAAAAAAAAGGATCGAGTGAATGCAAAATTGCAATTGTGCCTTTTTATCCCAGTCGGTATGATTCAACGTTGGCATGGGACGGACCGAGGGGGACGCGTTTCCGCACCTTCCTGGAACTATTCGCCAGTCGGGTGTCGGTGAGCCAAACTTGAACTGGGCTTCGGTCCCGTGTTGAACTTTCCCTTCCTGATGTCGCGCAATGCTGCGCGATTTGCGGGTTCCGTTGCAAAACTTGCTTGTGGGTAACGATCATAAAACGAATGTGTCACGGGTTTTTCGCCGCGCTCCGCAATTTATCGGCCGCATCTGAAATCAGAGCGGCTCCGACAGATTTGTCCGTTGATTTGGGAACCACCTCGGTGAAATTTGAGCTAAATTGCCAAGCGAGTGTGAGACATGGGAAGTTCTTTGCATGAAACAAGCGCTAGGATTGAATATAGAGGCATAGAATGCTCAGTAGAAAAAAAAAACAAAACAACAAAACAATTGCTTGGAGACATTCAACCGCTCTTATTTGAGGGCGGACGGGGAGGCGACAGATCCAAACGGTCAACGTGCGATTCCACTCCAACGCCGCCCGAGGCGCGAAGCCTCGAGAATCCGCCGCAACCTGTAACCAGATTTGTAATATTAAGCATCGCTATTTGTCCTGCGACGTGGATGTTTGACATAGAAATCGAGGAAATCTGACTTCTCGTCGTGAACTTTGAGTCACTATGCACGCAGCTTAGCTGAACATGGCAACGTGTGTTGAAAGCAAGTCCACTTCTATTTATGAGATATTTTATGTAAGTTAATTTGCTTTTGTACAGGTTTGTGTAAATAAATCGCTTGTCATTTTTGTCCCTGGGAAAATTAAAATATAACATGGTTAAACCTTCATTTGTGCATTTTGGCTTCAAGGTGCATCCGCCGCCGGTCAGTCGCAACACCATACGGCACGTTTCTGTCATCGGAAATGCGCAATGATGGGAAAGCTCTTTGAGACAACGCTAAAACGTACGCACCCATCCATCCATCTATCCGCTTTCCAATCCGCTTAACCTGACGAAGGTCGCGGGCCTTGCTGTCTTCGGGCAGGAGGTGGAGGACACCCGGAATCGTTCGCCAGCCCATCGCAGGGCACACAGAGACATACAACCGGTCACGCCCACATTCACACCGAGGGACAATTTTGAGCACTCCGTTCACCTGCCATGCATGTTTTTTGGAATGTGGGAGGAAACCGGAGTACCCGGAGGAAAAAACCCACGCAGGCACGGGGAGAACACGCAAACCTCAGGCCAGGATAATGGTGAGAGTTGGGAAGGTTTAGGGCTAGAAGAAACCATGTCCAAAACAGAAAAAGAAGTCAGCCATTCTGGTTCAGAGCTGCCATTTATTGCAGGGGTCCGCAAAACCTTTTTGGGGTCATGGACCAGTTGAGACAAGTACATACTGTTCACCCACCAGCAACTAAAACCAAACAGGAAGTCAGCCATTTTGAGTGAACCCCAAGCCTAGTACGTTGACAAACGGCCTCAAAATGAGATGGTCCGATTTAGCCACGAGAGGGCCCGGTCATCGCCGCATGGACATTTCAGTAGCAAATTGGCGAATGACCAATTGCAACCAGGCGCAAAGACACCGCCTTGAAGAAATCTGCTGTTGCCCTGATGCAAATGCCGCTCACT